TGCTATAAGTCAAATGGCCATAATCTAAGTGATAACAAAAATAAAAGAGTTCACTCATATTACACAGCCTGCTGCTCATAACTGCTTAAGAGTGCGCTGGCCACAAGCGATGACATCGTGGAGGCTATTGTTGGACCTACACACACATTTCATGAGGAAAGTTAACGTGCTAATGTGTTATAATCAGCCCAGAAGTTTCGTCTGAATTGAACGTGTTTCTACTTTCACATGCAAATGACTTGTTGCACTTATGAATATGATAAGCATGGTCGGCATCAATTCTAGTAGGATAAAACGTAATTATGCTTTCGAAACGGTCTGTTTTGCCCTGCCATCATTAGCTGAAGCTGTGTGTGAACAAGCTGCGGCTGCAGAGTGTGAGCTGCTCCGAGCTCCATCTCACGCAGCCTCAGAGGGAGTTCCGCAACAACGCTTAGCTGCCCGCAGATGCGCCTGCCTATAAATCAGCCTAATTTGCAGCACAATCGGCCGATGCCGATTAATTAAAAATGCCCAAAAATCGGCCGATTAATCGGTCAACCTCTAATAATAATACATTTTAGTACTTATGTAACACCATGGTTATTTTTCATGAGGTACCCTCAAGGGTACACCTTTGTACCATATCTAACCTTAAAGCATGCATACTTGTATGGTACTAATATGCTCCCTTTTAGGGGTAGAGTAGGTGCACCTTTGAGGTTACTGCCCCAGTAAAGAGCTAAAATACAATTTTAGTACATTTAATTTCTGACAGTGTAAACAAAAAAGGCCTATGAAATGTAACAAAAAAAAAAACCATGCCTTTCAAATATAATGTTGAGTGAGTATAATAACTGATTTTATTATTTTAATAATTTAAAAGATCAGTTTAGTGCTGAAAATTCAGCTTTGATCACAGATGCATTTTAAAATATATTAAAATATAAAAGTTATTTTTAATTGTTATATTTCACAATATTGCAGTTTTACTGTATTTTTGTTCAAATAAGTGCAGCCTTGGTTAGCATTGTTAGACTTCTTTCAAATACATTACAAAATCTTACTGACCCCAAACTTTTGAACACTATAGTGTACATGTAATATTTATTTTCTTTAGGCTAGTTTGTGCAAGTAAATTTATTTAAACTAGTCGTTTAAAGTTCAGAAAATCTGTCAGAAAAAAAAACTGATAAAGTTTCACCTTTAGGGGTACAACAGTCTGGCAGCCTTTTACAAAAATTAACCATGGTTTTACTACAGTAACCACAGTTTACCACAATATTTGTAGTAAAACTGCATCAACCTTAAATTTACCATGGTACAGGAACATTATTTTAACCATAATTGTAGCAAAAACCATGGTAATAATAATAATAATAATTAGAGGTCGACCGATATGGGTTTTTCACTGGCCGATGCTGATATTTAGTAAAAGAACCAAAGACTTAAACTACTTCAGTCTGTGTGCATTGAATTTATTTAATACACGAGTTTCACAATTTGAGTTGAATTACTGAAATAAATGAACTTTTCCACGACATTCTAATTTATTGAGATGCACCTGTATGTGTTTATGAGTGTGTGAGTAATAAAGTTTATGCGTTATGAGTAATATAATTATGTATACATATATATTCGAAAAGACATTTTTAGAAGCTAAAAAATCATATTTGTAGACTACTATATGAATAATCAATAACAATGGATTAAAAATTAAAAACTAATCAGTTATTACGTTTAGACATGGATTAATTGCCATGAATGTTTGTTTTCTTTACTGTATAATGTTCAGCAATTATGGTAGATTTACCAAAAAAAACAAAAAAAAACATTGATGCATATAAAATTAGAAACAAAATTAGAAAATCACTTAAATTACTTTTTTTATAAGTAAAAATTCATGTGTGTGAATGTAGACTACTAATATAACCATTTTAAAATGAATATAATAGAAAAATAATATATGTAATAAAATTAATAATAAAAATGTAAAATTCTGAATGTAAATATAAAATCACACACTCACACAAAAAACACTTTTTATAATATATTAATATAGGCTGGGACAAATAGAAATGAGCTACTGGCCCAACTGGACAAGCAGAAAAATGCCTGCTTTAAATCAGGGTGAAAAAGATAAATGAAGTCATGGACCCTGACCTCTTGTGCTTCTGTTCTTGTGTTCTTGCAGCAGTTCTGTGGTGTTTTGGGTCACACATTTATGGAGTTTCTGAAGGGCAGTGGCGACTACTGCCAGGCTCAGCACGGCTTTTATGCAGAGAAGTGAACGGCTAGCCTTGCTACCTCATCAGAAGAGAGACTTGTGTCACAGTTTTAACGTTGGCGGGATCGGGCTTGGAGAGCAGGTGTCCACAGCAGTCGGCGGTTCTGGATGGGGTAAAAAAATCTCTTGAAGTTCACTGCCCTCGTTGGCCCAACGTCTTCACTCTCACCAGAGGACCAGCCTTGTTTTCTAAGGTTTTTATTTTTGCTATTAATCCCGCCCACCTCTGGGTCATACCTTTTTTCTCCTAATTGTGTCCGACAGATTTTCTTTTGTTATTGGAGAGAGTTTCTCCCATTTAAAAAAAAAAATTAAGCTATTTTGAAAAGTCAAAAATGGCTCGTATGAATAGACCTGCCCCAGTGGAGATCACTTACAAAAACATGAGATTCCTCATTACCCACAACCCCACTAATGCCACGCTTCACAAATTCATTGAGGTGAGTGTTGGTTTAAATGGTCTGAACATACTAAAAGTGTTGTTTTGGAAAGACGATTATAAAAACCTCATAATTACAACTGTTCATAATTACAGTAACTGCAAAACATCACTTACATGACATTCATTCCCATCCATTAGGAACTGAAGAAATATGGGGTGACTACGGTCGTTCGAGTGTGTGAGGCCACGTATGATGCAAACCTGGTTGTTAAAGAGGGTATTCAGGTTCTGGTAAGTCCACATGAACCTCTTCACCTTCATGAAAATTAATGGAAATTGTCCGTTCTTATCTCGGGTGACGTTTTAATGCTAATTTTTTGCCGTTGTGCAGGATTGGCCCTTTGACGACGGAGCTCCTCCTCCTAACCAGATCGTTGATGATTGGCTAAATCTTCTTCGGATTAAGTTTAGGGAGGAGCCAGGCTGCTGTATTGCAGTGCATTGTGTTGCAGGCCTTGGAAGGTAATTTTACAGGATTCAAGATCATTAATAAATAAACTATTAATAAAATAGACATAAAAAATATGTTCTGAACTTTGCATGGAAATCTTAAGTTGTTTTCTTTCCCACAGAGCCCCAGTACTGGTTGCTCTGGCCCTGATTGAGTGTGGGATGAAATACGAGGATGCTGTTCAGTTCATCCGACAGTGAGATAACTTTATATATTTTTTAATAATATAATAATAATAATCAACATGTGATCTCCATTCTTAAAGGGAAATGTTAATTTCACTTTTTTTTCAGAAAGCGCCGAGGAGCATTTAACAGCAAGCAGCTCTTCTATCTGGAAAAATATCGTCCCAAAATGCGTCTTCGATTCAAGGATTCCAACGGCCACCGCAACAACTGCTGCATTCAGTAAAAGCTTGCATATCAGCCTTTCTCAAATGTGTAATGGGAGTTTGTATCTAGCATAAGTAGTTTGTTCTCTTAGTTGGTAACTGTGAAAATACCGTTACAAAAATTAAAGGGATAGTTCACCCAAAAACGAAAATCCTGTCATCATTTACTCACCCTCATGTTGTTTCATTCCTGTAGGTTTATTTCTTCTGTTGAACACAAAAGAAGTAATTTTGAAAAAAGAAAAAGAAAAAAATTTGATGGTCCCCATTGACTTCCATAGTATTTTTTTTTCCATACTATGGAAGTCAGTGGGGACCATTAGCTGTTTGGTTACCTATATTCTTCAAAATATCTTCTTTTGTGTTACAGAAAAAAGAAACTCGTACAGGTTTGGAATAACCTGAGGGTGAGAAAATGACAGAATTTTCATTTTTGGGTGAACTATCCCTTGAAGCTTATTTCGTTGCAAGTGTCCCTCTCCCTTCTCTTTGTTTTATGTATTTCCTGTGGAGAACCTCTGTCAGCAAGGTAAAGTGCTTGTTTGAACATTAGCTTAGTGTCTTGCAATGAAGTTTATGCTGGTTGGTGAAACATGGTCAAATCCCACCTCTGCCAAACACGTAGTATGCTTTATAGCCTAAATGGTTCAATTAAAAAAAAAAATTTCATAAATTTTTTTTAAGTTTATGCTGGTTGGTGAAACATGGTCAAATCCCACCTCTGCCAAACACATAGTATGCTTTATAGCCTAAATGGTTCAATTAAAAAAAAAAATTTCATAAATTTTTTTTGATGATTTCAGTCTATCTGTAATAAATGCCTGCCTCCAAAAAGATCTAAAATAACTGCCTTATTACAGCAGAAAGATACCGTCTGGTGGAGGACTTCTCAGTGGCATTTGGAGAGGTTTCTCGATGTCTTTTGCAGAAAAAAATCAGGAAGAGAGAAAAAAAATAGAGGAAAATAAAATCTCTTTACATAAATATATTGAAGGGTGGGGTTCTAGTTTTTATTGTTTATCCAAACTTTGTTTACCTATTACTGCCACGTCAATAGTGTGATGTTTGTGTTTTGGCTTAAAACTGGACCTCAATGTCTGCTGTATTTTTATGCCTTTTTATTTGATGTGCGTAACTTAATATTTCGATACTTGATTTCTGTGCGGTATTTGATTATGTGTACTGTTAAAGCACCTATTTATATCATTGGATATGTGTTTTAGTATAGCGAGAGACAAGTTGCTACAAGTTTGCCAATTTGAGAGTACAATAAAGATACACTGAAGGAACATATTGCCTCTTCCAAGCTTGATTTTAACTTTTAAATTAAAAACATGCAGCACTTTATCAAAATTATTTTATTTTCCTCCCTTTTCACAACTGTTGGTGTCACATCAATCCTTTCTACAATAAATAAAGAATATAGAAAATTCCTAAATAGTTTTAAACATCAAGACCTCTCCCTCACTGCAAAGAACCACATAAATTTTCACAAAATCTGAGAATGTCTCTAAGGTTAAAACAACCCGAAAACGATTTAATAAAATGCTTGCAAATTATTTTTTAACAATGCAATATTGACAAATTTACAAAGTTTAGGACCCCTTCTGATTTAAAGTCCTGTTAACAGCCTTTAATGTGTAAAGTGACCAGGTCATGACAGCATGATTTTCCATACTGTATGCATCCAGGACCTAAAGAATACAAAGTATATTCAAATAAAATTGAATTATTGCATGCATTATTTGCAAGCTATAATTGAATTATTTATGGGGCAATTTAGGTTTATTTTGATTCTTAAAATAAATATTAGAACTATACAAATGTAGGTCCTAAAAAAATAATCTTTGTTAAAGGGGACTGAATGAAACTGGGAATCCTAACATGAATTGATCCAACTTCACACTGCTGTTTGACAAGTACAGTCGCACCTGAATATACCATCAACACAGAAATCTCCTCGTAGAGGGAGTCACTCCATTAGTCTCTCAAGTTTCCCTGTCCAGAGACACTGGGCTCTGATGTGTGGCTCACTGATGGTTGTCAGCTCATAGACCATCTGGTCCCTTCATGTTGGACTCTTTGACAGACATCGGACCTGCAACTGCTTGAAGTATGCATTGAGATGACTCGCAGTATCCGTTTGGTCCAGAGGGACCAGGTGGCCCGGGCACACCTGGTATTCCAGGAACACCTGGTGGTCCTCTCAGACCGTCACGCCCGTTACTGCCATATGCTGGTTTCCCAGGCTCACCTGAGAGCAGTTGGACGAAAAGGCCAGCAGTTAGAGGCATGATATTTAGAGATTTAAAGATCATTTAACATATAGTGATAAATGCAGTTATGGATATTAGATTAGCCGTAGGCCTTGCTCTTACCTGGGAGCCCCGGTGGTCCAGGTATACCTTTAGACCCCACCACTGTGGGCCCTCTATCTCCCCTGTCCCCTTCGTCACCTACATTAAGGAGAATGCAAAGGTTTTACAGTGTAATATAGCATTTAGGGCTCTCAGCTAGTGCTTCATATCCCTAAAAAAATCCCAGATTTGTTCTGGGAATAGGGAATAAAACAAAGCTAAATGGCAATAATAAAATGCAGGTAACCATATAATTAGTTATGATGCACTGCAAAAAAAAAAAAAAGATTTTCGTTATGAGTACACATATCTAAACATTCTTAAATCAAGATTTACTTGAAAAGCAGAATGACAAGATATCACGTCTTGATTGCCTTTAATGTATGCATATATATTTTTACTGGAAAAGATGTTGTTGACATCAAACGACATATGGCCAATGCATGTTCCACAGTATTGTGGCACGCTGGTGAATTATATAATAATTTCATACAGTTGACTGCAAGCTCACATTCAGATCTACCACCATCCAATCAACAACCGGTGGACAGAAGTCCCCATACTATATTTTTTCACGATAATCCGTTTCACATGGATGTGCGTCACAATACAGAATAAATTATTTGTTGGTACTTCCGTTTCATTGTGACTAAGGATATTTTTGTTACTTTTCTTAGATAATTTTCGTACTGTTTTGTACCAAATGATGTAAAATATGGTTCCTGAAACAAAACTTGGAATGGATTTGGAATGGACACCTCTGGAATCGGTTAACATATGGTTGAAAGGTATTCAGAGCTTTGTTATGAATTTAAATTACGTGTTTTATAACTTTTTTAGGTAGGCTGTTCTGCTGTGGGAGCTTTTTATTTATTTATTTATTTTTTCATTTCAAGTACATCAAATTAAACTAAATGAAAATGAGAAATGTTCCTTTGGCAACTAGCTGAAATAAAACAAATGTAAGTTTTTTTAATATTCTATTTTATTTCAGTTACCGTTTAAGTAACAGAATTTAATGTTTTTAGTTAACTTTCATAGGATAGTTCTAGAGATCACCACAACAGCATCACTTCTCAAAGCAAACTCACCGATCCTTTCTCGCCTGGCTCTCCCTCATCACCCTGGCAAAATGAAATGGACATGGAGTTTAGGATCAGCAAGGGGGTCAAGACCCGTTCCTGAATACTTTAAAACCAATACATTCAAAGACATTAAAATATCTCTGCTGTTTTTACTTACAACATCTCCTTTTTAGTATACTGTATATGAGAGCTATAACCAAAAACAAATATTTTTGTAGTCCAAGTAGCCACAGATTGGCTTACATAAATGTCAAAACATATCTACACTAAAAGCATAGTATTTATGAAATCATTATTAAGCGTACGGTGGGATCACATTAAAAAAAATTGAAATTTTGGTCCACTTTCCATTGTCAAGTGTAGTGTCAAGTAAGGCACAGCTCACATTGAAGTCGCTTTCAAACCAATCACTTTTCTGTTGGTAAACGTTGCAAATCTGTTTGACTGACTAAAAACCTTTGCAAAATCTGTGTGGGGAAATCTTTCACCCTCACAATGCAATGCAATGAGTCGAACATTGTCTTTTCGTACCTTTGGGCCCTTTCCTCCCCATGAGCCCTAGGGGGCCTTTGAGACCTGGCAGTCCTCTGCTTCCAGGATGCCCAGTGAAGCCATTGTCTCCAGCGGGCCCTGGAAGGCCAGGGGGACCAGGAGGACCTGGCAACCCAGTGATGCCCGACTCTGGCCTTGTCAGACTGGCTGCCAACTGGGCAAGCTGTCCTGTGAGGAAGAGGAAAATGGAAATGGCAAAACCAATCGAAAAACTAAAATCATTCTAATTTAACGAGTCGAGCTTCCATTTGTAGATATCTGTTTGAATATCAAAATACTGACCATGCAAAACCCTCATGCAGACCTGCTTGATGTGTTCATCTTTTGGTGTTCGGCCCTGGAGGGAAATCATGTGGACACTATTAATATTTCCTTATTAAATGCATGTAGAAAAGACTAGAAAATCATTTTGGATCACATTGATGTAAAATTCCTGATGGTCTGCCAACCATTTAACAAGTTTAGTACAGAGAAATCCTGTTGGAATGACAGAAATAAAACTCTCTATGATAAAAGTGTCACATAAATAAGGCCTCAGTAATAAGATGATTAAACCGGCGTACTGTTCGTCCCTGTGCCCCAGGCAGTCCAGGTACCCCTCTGTCTCCTTGCATGCCTCTTGGGCCAGGCCCCCCTGCTGGGCCCTCTGGTCCATGTTGGCCACGCCCACCCTCTGGCCCTTTATTTCCTGGCTCTCCTGGTTTTCCTGTCTGAACACAACAAACCATAAACACTGATTAATTTCTACGGAGGCCAGCATTGAATTTTCTGTACTTTTTCACATTTTATGGATTAAAAACTTTGGAAATATATGATTTATACGAGAACAGTTTAATCTGTTATTTTAATATCTCCGAGATACTATTCTAGTTTTTATTAATATTTAGAATTTATAATATATATATATA